CCTCCACATTGAAAATGTACGTCAGGACTATAGTGGCGTATCATGGCACTGTGGAAGGTAGGTCTCTAGGGAAGCACAACCAGATCATTAGGTTCCTCAAAGGCATGAGGAGGCTAAATCCCTTAAAGCTGTGCCTTATTCCTCTCCTTGGTCTTACAGGGTCTGCAGAGGGTTAGGGTTAGGGTTAGGCTAACCCTAACCCTAACCCTAGCCCTTTGAACCCTTTGAGTCAGTTGAGCTTAGTACCTTCTCTTTGAAGACGGCCGTCCTGACCATGTTTACCTCCATCAAGAGGGTTAGGGAGCTGCAATTTAACCAACGTTTCCACTACCCCTTTCGGGGACCAAGTGGTGAACCTGCAAGCACTGCAAGCACACCACGATAATGCGCAGTTTTCCAATCCATGTGTGTTTTCTATTTATGGCGAACCTGGGATAACAACTGACTGTTTTCAGTACTCATCAGTAGCTGAATCAGTGGCAGAGGAATTCTGCTACCAGGCCTGTTATTTGTGGTATGCCTGTTTTTAGATGGGCCTGTCTAATTGGACTAAGTGCTCCATGTGTGGTGATTCCTATATGGTAATCATGTATGCTGTTTTTTTTTTCCATTGTAAAGGTGCCCTGTCATTAACCATGTATATTTCCTGGGCAGAGCCTTACTTGCCACCAGTCTCTGTGGATATGAGCATCTAGCATTGCTTGGTTAGAGCCCATCACAGAGACCTCTTCCATGTGTAGTGCTTCCCACTAGGTAAGCCCACGTGATGTATTCTTCACATACTGTCCTCTCCTCTGGGTAGTGTTTTTTCCAGTGTTTTTCCCTATATGGAAAAATAACCCTTTCCCCGGTGTAAACTAAGGGTCTGCACGGCTGTACATTATTATTATTATTTTATTATTATGGACATTGTGAGGGTTAAGATGTGGTAATTGCTACCAGGCCCGCAGTATCTTCACTGTAAAATCTAATTAGTTGGGCTTACTTAAAAAAAGCATGCAAACCGATTGCGTTGAAAAAACTAAGTAAAGTGAAAAAGGAATAGTATCTTGTACTGACAGATGATTATTTAGTATAGTTTACTTACACAAGAGTTTGA